AACATGGAAAGAAGAAACCGATAAAAACATGTCCCACAAAAAATAAAGACAACTTAATGATAACTAATCTGTATCTATAATTTATAAAAAGATTTTTTCTTTCGTGTAAATATTTTTTTTATAGATATATATACTGTTTTTATTATAGTTCATTTTTTTTTCGACCTTTGTATCTTTTAAGAATAATAATATTGATAATAAACTACAATAGAGGAAAATAGTTTTACCCATTTGAGATTTTATTCATGAAAAAGCTTTACCTAAATGTGAATTTTCAAAGAGAGAGCAAAAATCGGCATTAGCAACAGAGATGGATGAATCTGTGAATATATAAGGCAGTGAATGATTTCGTGAATGGCTGCAATTCTTCAACAAAAGGAAATAAATGCATTAAAAAAAACTGCCCAATGAGCTTTTGTGAATGTGTCAAAAGAGAGTGAAACGTGAGAAAGAAGGAAACTATATACCGAGAGAAAAAATAATAATCAAATCAAACAATTTAACAAAAAAAAAAGACCTTATAAAAAGGAATGAGAAAATTGGGAAGCTTAGATCTTATTTACATGTAGTGTTATAAATAAATAAATTTTTTTATATTAAAAAGGTATAATATTTCTTTATATAAATTCAAATTAATGTATATATAATATATTTTTTATAAACAAATTATTATAATAAGGTATTAAATAAATTTTAATTTTTTATAAATTTAATCTACTTATTAATAATTTTTAATTCAAAAATTTTAATTTAAAAATTTGGTTGTAAAAAATTATTGTAGATCATAAATTATTAAATGAAATAATTCTATGAAGAGTTACTCCTTTTGTTTGGTTAAAAATCGTTTCTACTTAAGTTGGTGCAAGACATTAATGGATAGATGCTAGGCGTGAGTCGGTCAGAGACCCTCTACCTTATTGAGGTCAGACGTAGATTTTTATCAAGCTAGGCATGAGATACTTAGAGACTCTCTACCTCATCCATGTCAGACCCATATGTATTGGCACCAAGCGTAGACGAAACAGAAATCCCCTGTCTCAAAAATTCTAAGTGTGCTAGGAATTATGTCGGACTTAAGTTGTATGATAAAAGATGATGTTTTAAGTTGATTAATAGATGAAGAATGATGATTAAAATATGTGATGAGTGTTGTATGATTATAACTCATTATGCATTTGGTTGATTTAATGTATAGTGATGTTTATGTTGTCAATATGTAATTGATAGATGATTAAGTTGTACAGTTGTATGATGTTATAGTTGATTAAGCTATTAAGTTGTTAAACATGTGGTGAAGATACATGTCTTAGTTGAGATACATAAATACTATAGGAGAGTTATGCTGTTTAAGTTGTTTCCTCTAGGATTTACGTGGAATATTGTGGAGGTGTGGTCAATCCATATTGTAGTTGAAGCAACTAATCAAGTAAGGTACAAGGTCGGGACTTAGTCCCCAACTGGGTACTGGAAGGACGAAGTATTTGAAGGGTAGTCAACAGACTAGTTCCATAAAAAGCTTAATGTTGCAAGCTAATGTCATGGCAAATACACATCCAAGTTATTTTACTCTTTACAGGAATACTATACTTTATAATGTAAATGATGAAACTTGAGAAATCAATTTAAGATGTATACCTGACACTCTAAAAGGTCTAACATTGTTTATACTTGACTTGGTTGTGATAGGTTAGATGTTGTGGTTCGAAAGAGTTTAATCACTTAGATCGTTCATCTCTATTGTAGGAGATCTTTGTAATTGATATACATGATTACATATTAGTTGTTGAATGGTGTTATCATACTATTGTTGTTTGTGTTGTATATTGTGGTGATGTTGTTAACAAGTTGAAAGTTGTTATGTTGAGTGGCATTAAATGTTGATTAAGTTGTTTATGTGGTATTGTTAAAAATTATTGTGAATACTATGTTGATTCTTTTCACAAGTTTAGCCTTTATTTTTCTTGTGGTTGAAATTACAATACTCATACTTTATATGAGAGTAAGACAAAATTAAAAAGATAAATTAGGTGGTGGTGGATGGTCACACTCTAGTAACCCATTTTGTACTTACTATTTTGATATGACAAAGTGTTGTATAAACGTTTGATTAGCATATAGAATTATTTTGTGTACAACCATATAATTTATGTAAATAATATATACGTTCTAGGGGTGTATATAATCTTATAAGGAGATTTATGATTTTCACTTAATTTTATTTTTTACCATATACATATATATTACATGCATGATCAAATAATTATTACATAAAAATTTTAGACTAGTTGAATATTGTTTAGTAACTTTCCTATATAATAATTAAATTATATTAAGTGTAATTATCTAACAAATTGTTACAAATAAAAATTAATTGAAGAAAAAATTTACTTGTAAAAGTTGAGTCAAATAAAAAAAGATTAAAAAAGTCGTATCCTCGAAACAAATAACATGGTAGAGAAATTGCAAGTAAATTACTCTAGCATGTCTACTAAATTTATCCACAAAACCACGATAGATATGACAAGACTGACAGTCAGTAGTCTGTACACATTACAAATATTTGGATATAAATAAAAACCTCAAAGGTGAGAGATAAGAACATTAATTAAAAAAGCAAAGCAAAGCAATGATATGATAATAAATGCGAAAAGGGCGGGAATTAGGAAAATAAATGGATTAAAAAAGGAGTTGGTGGTGTTGGTGTAGGTCAACACTCGAGAGTCGAGACTCAACATAGTGTGGTGTCCACCATTCTATTTCATTGGCGTTGCTTCTCCTTAACTCATCCGTTTCATCAATTGTGTCTGCCCTTCCTTTCTTTTTTCATTTTCTCTTTCTTTATTAATAGTGGCAAATTACTAAGCCAAGTAACTTTGGAGAGAAACATGATTTATTGTGTGAGCAAGGCTATAACTATAACCAAGTTATAAGGGGCACACGCGCATAAACATCTCAACCTGTGATTAATTTTAATATTTAATACATAAAAAGAAGTATTTATAATCATCTGAATTGCTATGAAAATTAAAAAACAGATTATAGTGGTAGCACTAGTATGAGAAAATGGATTAGGTCCAAAACATAGAAGGTCCAACCCGCTATGTCTAACTCGCTGCTTCAACGGATTCCTGTTGGGACAGAGAACTCATCTTTTTACAAATATACATTTTAAATTTTAGTGCCACATATTAATATATAACTAATTATTAATAATAAAATATTTATATAAACACTGGTATAATATTTAAAATAAAACCTTAAATGTAATAACAGTTTTCTAACCGAGCATAATAATTTTTAATATATTTTAAATCGTCTAATTAATTCTATCAATCTACATTAGTGGTAAAATAATAATTGAAAATAATAAAATAATACATATTATTATTATTATTATTATTATATATATATATGACTTAATTTGTTAAAAACACTATTTTCCCTTAATTTTATTTATTTAATGTTTAGGAAAAAAAGAGTAACTAGAAATAAAAATTGAAACACTAGAAACATGAAAAATCAAAAACATATACATGAAATAAATGAAAAGTAATTGATTGGTGAGGTATAACATCTTTAGTAGAAAAAGTGAAAAACTTTGATATTATAATACATGACAGGTGAATGTGTAATTTTTAGGCTTGTGTTGCGTCCTTGTTTGAAGAAATTTGCTGCACGTAAAGAAATTTCACAAAAGAATCTTTTGTCATTTTGATGATCATTTCGTTATGGATAGTAGAAAGCTCGCGATGTTGGGAAATTCTAGAATGAAAGGAAAAGAAAATTAGGCGTAGAAGTCATTTGGGGCGCCATAGAAGAATGACGAATAAAGATGCAAATTCTTCTTGTACCTGTCTGAAGGCACACTCGTAATCTTCTGGTAGGTGAAGGGCCGAACGAGAGTTTCATGTGGATGTTTCAGAAGGGGGAGGTACCTGCAAAAGACACTCCGACATTCAAGTCAGGACAAACACAATTCTCGAGTAATAAATGAACAGTGACATATCTCGTTTTAAGTGACCTATTTATACTACCTGTCATGGGCCTTGAGTGTAGTGGGCCTCTTCTGATATTTACCAAATTAGGTAATACGATGCTAATTGGCTAATTATGCCTTAATTGCGCGTTTTCCCTTATTAATCACGATTATCGTCCTAACTGCTGATCCTGTCAGCCCTTAGCTAAGCCAATTGGGAACGGTCGAGACAACCTCTTCGTTCTCGACCTTTGGCCGAGTCAATGGACAGTAATGGTCGAGCCGATAGGGAACGTTCTTGGCCCTTCGCCGAGCCGAAGTCAGGATCGAACTGCGTCAATATCTGATAGGTCATGACGTGTCGATCCACGTGGCCGATATATCTCTTGTTCTGATGTCCGATAGGACATCACGTGTCAATCCACGTAACCGATAGGACCCTTCCGATTCACTTATGAAAGCTCATTATAATTTTCTTAAATAGAGTATAATTGTGGCATTTTTAAATTGAACAATTGCATTCAAATAGTGAATATTTTCCTTCAAGCGATATTACCTTTTTCAAAGCAAGAGAATAACAACATGAAAACCTCTCGATGCCCACAAACAAGAACAAATCGGGGCATCACATCCAATTATTCTATAAAAACCAAAATTCATTATACCCAAAGCTTTTTGGAAAAAGTTTTCGGAGTTGACAATTCTGCTTCTAGTTGTTTCAACGGAAACATTTCAAACTCCTCGTATAATTGTATATACTATATAATCCACTCATGGAATCGAATACTAACTAAACTTCAATAGCTGAAGCTACATAAATTGTATACTGAAGTAAAGGAGAAACTATAAACGGTGATGAAAAAATAATAGGTTGTAATGGATCAATTAATCTTAATATCCATCAATAGACTTACGATAATTCCTCTGGATCCTTGGTTCTCTCGAGCCTGTAAAACAGTATTAGGGTCATGCAGAACTTTAAAAAGTTCACACAGGCACCAAAATTAAGAGAAATAGCAAGCAGTGACTAAAGAGAGCAACATACACATTAATGTGAATTAAGTACACTGTAAAAGTCAAATAAATATAACTTAAATAACAACAGAATCATGAGTACCAGCTAGTTACTTGAGGGGTCAAATTAACTAAAGGTGCACAACAACAAACTAAAATGAACAGAGTTATTTCACCCTAAGAAAAATCAGTACCACTGCTACTTCCTACCCGCTTTACAGATCTTTTACCTCTTGTGCCTTGTTAATAACAAACACTTGTACAACTTCTCCATCAAATTCAGGCTTAGCTTGGGGCTGATGTATGCGGTTGCAAAAATTGCTGAAGCTGTGCCTGTGCTGGTATCTGAGGATATTGCTGCTCATACACCTGCGTCTGTGGCAGTGACTGCGGCAGCGGTGATGGCTGTTGAGGCAATGGCTGAGTCTCGTCTCTCAATGGGGCTTTAAGGTCCAAAGTTGACAGCACTTCCAACTCCTGAATTGCTGCAATTGCAGTCACCGGACTTTCATGGTTGAAATAAGGCTTAAGCATGCCAAGGGACTCCTTCACTTTTGATTGCTGTAAATTAAAGAATGGAGGCGTGAAATTATACTATATCTATGAAATTTGATAAGCAATTGAACGTTCAAACGAAAGACTATTTCAACTCACGAAGTGTTCAAGTTTCTTCCTTAGATCTTCATTAGCAGCCTTGTGTGCTGTGATTGCAGCAGCAGTCGCTCCCTATTTACAAGAAATGAAAATGAGAACACTTTCCACAATAGTAAACTAATTTAAATTCATAACACAAGTAATTTTTATCAGTAAACAGAACAAAATATATATATAAATCACAAAATATTTATTCAGAGCTCGTAGCTGTGCATATTTTATATAATCCATAACTTTCTTTGATCAAACTACATAATCCACTCATCTTAGAGGTCTGAATGATAAGTGATAATTCTTATTATTTACTGAATCTGTTAATTCATCCAACATAGTCGACACTCAAATAAAACATAAAATTCACAACCTTTCGGCTGATGTTAACATATATTTTTACTAACTCTAACCTCCAACCCAAAGTCCATCTCCCCCAAACATAATAAATAAATATACATGAGAAGAATGATGCTGTAATAATATATTCATCCCACAAAAGTTCAATTGACTTGTATGTGAGTAAAATTACTTTCAGAAGATTTACTGTTAAAAGTATTGATTGGTATAATTATATTTTAGAAAAGAAATGTTTAAAAACTTCTCTAGAAGAATTGATTTAAAAATAAAAAATAAAAAAAAAGATTTGACACGTCTTTAGTAAGCCTTTGGTTTATTATTATCAAAAACAATTTAGACATTACAAATCACATATTGATGTAAAAGTCTATGACTGAGATTAATTTGAGCAAACATCTCAATCATGTCTGATAGTTCAAAATTAATTTCATCAAAATCTAAATTAAATGGACAGAAAAAGTAACACGCACATACTCCATTTACTGCAAAGGCAGTTTTGATGGAACCAAAGACTTAAATCTCCACCTCAAAAACAAATGAATCCAGTGGCAGCAAAATTACCTTTCTGCACAGCAATTGATCTAAACCAAACAAAAATAAAACGTACAATACACTTAAATTGAACTCAAGGACAGATATAGAAGACGCACATAATAAGGCAAACACGCTCACATCGGATAGTCGTTCACTTGTTTAAGTAATTTTTATCTTTGTCGGACACGTACATCACAAAAACACTTCCTAAAGAGACAACAAAATTTTCCAATGACACCAAAACAAAAATTAGGAATTATGCAAAAAAAAAAATTCAAATGGCCAACTGATGAAACGAGAAAATGTAAAAAAAATCCAAAATAATAAAAATTAATTTTCCCTATCTGTTTGCCTCATAAAAGATATATATATAAAATAAAAAAAAAATAGTTTTTTTTTCTCAACATACTTATTGCGGAAATCAGACATTTTATACTCTTCATTTTTCATTTTGCTTACAAAGGAATGAGTTCAAAAAGTCAGCGAGAAATGAGAATAAGGTTTACTTTAGGCAATCAAACATTGAATCTAGTCCGTACTTAAAGTATCCAACCTCCCAAAAAAATAATAGTACCATAAATATGCTTACGAAGCCAGCTAGCGTAAATGCAACGATGCTTGTCTTGGAAGCATAAGAAAAACAGATAGCATAAACAAAAAAAAGTTAGAACTTCGAAGCATGACATTATTAATTAAGCAGCAAAAAGAAAAAAAGTAGTATAACCTTTGGGCGGCCCACGGGCCTGCCAGCAGTATTCTTGGGCCTTCCAACAGCGAGCTTGGGAGGGCGGCCCTGCCTCATGACCGGTAAGAGCTTCGGGCGTCCGCGGCCACGGCCACGCGCAGCACCAGCAACAGAAAGAAGCGCCGGAGCAGCCGCGGCAACATTCTTCCTCGGCCTTCCTCTGGGCCTGGGAGAGCCATTGGGCACGGAAGCAGCAACGAGTGGTGGTGCTGTGGGCTGGCCAAGAGCAGCAACAGGGGCCGCGAAGGGGATGACGGTGGGGTTGGATTGGGCTTTGGGCGGGCGTCCCGGGCGTCGTTTGAGCCCGCTGGAGATGGCCGACACGGATTTGGGCTTGGGAGGACGGCCAGGCCTCTTGGGCAGCTTAGATCTAACGGAGCCAGGTGGGCGGCCTCTTCGGCCCGGGACAGCAGGGTTAGGGCTGACAAGGGGTCCAATTTTTTTAGGACGGCCGGGGCGTCGCTTGGCAGCCTGGGCGTCAGCAAGACCAAGCGCAGCCCAGACGGGGTCATTGGGCTTGGGCTTAGGGGGGCGACCGCGGCTTCGTTGGGGTTGAAGCGCAGGAGATGCGGGAAGAGGAACAGGAATAGGGTGAGAAGCAGAGGCAGATCCAGGGAGCTTGTAGGATTTTTTGACCATAACGAGAAGGTTAGAGGATTTCAAACGGTTTAGGTGGTGAGTCAACAAGGCCGAGTGCGTTGGTGGAAGGTCCTTGTACACTTGCTCTATGTACTTCCCTATGGCTCGCTTGCTCGAACCGTCTTTCTCCTTCAGAGCACCGATTGCTGTGTATATCATCTGCAACACGTACGCTGCATATGTTACTCTTTCTCTTTCTCAAACGCATAAAAACACTAATTCTATTTAACATGAGCTACGTACCTCGTCGTAAGGGGGGTGGGTGGGGTTTTCCGCGGGGGTCACGTGATTGTTGCTGGGTTCGACGGTGGCCGGAGGGGGAGGGATCGAGGATGGGTCCATGGAGAGAGAGAGAGAGAGAGAAAGAGATGGAAGAGAAGATTCGAAATTTGGGAAATAGATTGAGGAGAGAGAGCGAAGAGTGAAGAGTGAAGAGTGAAGAGTGAAGAGTGAAGTGAGAGTGAGAAAAGGGGGGTTAGGTTAGGTCATTTGATAGGTGTGTCGTGGTGAGTGGCTTACGGTTACAGGTTAGCGTAGTTCAGTCTTGTCTGAATCAAGTCTTTAACTTACATCATGTCATCCATCCTGCCTTCTCAACCCTTCATTTTCACTCATCCCTCCTCTGCCGTTGATCTACTTTCCTTAAACTTAACTCTCTTCATACTTAACCACTTTCTTTCCAAAACCATGGTAACACTTCTCTGCTTTTCTTTTCATCCATTTACAACACCCCAAGCACCTCAACTAATTCAATTAAACTTCCTTAATTTTTGTTTTTTTTTCAATATTGCAAGTTATGAATAAATATGTTGTCATCCAGTATGAAAGCAGTAAATGTATAATCTTTCAAGTTATGGTGGAAATTAAATTATAGTGGCCTGGCCGGCTCTTTTTTAAATAGCTTTTATTTTTTTCTTAAGAAAATCTATTCCATTTTTATCTGATCAACTCTTTTTTTTTATATATATATAGAAGTAAAGTAATATTTTAGTGCAAACTTCGTGTTTCAAGTAAGAAGAATTTTAATTTTGATCCTTTATTTAAAGAGTATAAATATCAAAGTATTTGTGTTTATAATTCTACATCACTCATAATATTGCTTTTAATTATACAAATTTGTTGGATCTTGATACGTTCGGAATTGGGTTATTATTAACTAGTTTTCTGAAGGTGTTGATCAAAATGTTCTTTTGAAAACTAATGTTTGATATCTTCTATTAATTTTGTGATGCTTTGACATGATTGATATGTCATGAATAAGGAATGAGTAATGTCATTTCCCACAGAGACCTTTTCTTTAGGTGTTAAAATGTGATTCATATGTAAGCATTACGTTCTTTTTCTTTTTCAATTTAAGAATTTATATGAATATTATTCTCTCCACTTAATTTTTTTTCTTTAATTTTTAAATAGATTTCAAATAAATCGGATATGAATTTATCTTCGTCCTCTTTCCTTGTAATTATCTATATTCCCATACTTGACGGGAATTGAATTTGCGCATTTATCCTTGTTCCTGTAAAGTATTAAGTATATTTGCTTATAAATTAATTAAATATTTGTTTTTTGAAAATAAAATGTTAAAAAATATAAAATAATAATTACAAAATTATATTAATTAAGTTTTATTGACATAAATTTAAGTTAGTAAAAATTATATAAATGTTAAATGAATTTTTTTTTTTAAATTGTTTTTATAAATTTTAAATGAATACAAGTATAAGTACGAAGCAGATAACTATATACATATTCACGTATTTAAGCCCAATTTATTAATAAATTAATATTACCTGCATCTAATCAAATTATGTATTTCTCATCAAAGTTGCAATAATATAAGTTTATTTGTCATCCCCATAATAAGCATAATTTATTATGTATATATATCATATGCTAAATAGTATCACATGTCATAATTGGGCTCTATTCACCATATATTACACCTTTGGAGCTTGTTTCTCCAAAACCTCATTGAACACGGGAGGTTTTTATAATATTAGTTTTTAAGAAAATTTTAATGTATAATATTTATAAAAAAATACATTATAAGTTTGTTTTTTAATTAAAAACAACACAAAAACTCTCATGCTTTTGTAAGCCTCTAATGCTCAAAAAAAGTTAAGTGCAATGGGAGATGCAAGTTAAACAAATCGTTGTAGTAACTTTTGGAGTTTAAGATCTCATGTTGTGAATGCCCTAAACTACCTACAAAGTACCTTAAAGCTCAAATTTATAACAATTTTTATTTATTAAGATAGGTGTTTATAATAGGAACTAAAGTACAATTCATTGTTCTTGGATATCAAATGCATGTAATTTGGACTAAGATACAAATTATTTATAACATGCTTATTATTTTAAGGTGAATTGAATTTTTAATGTTCATTCATTGTCTATGCTCGTTTTAAGATGAATTGAGTTTTCCAATACATAGCCTCAAAGTTATGCTATTTTAGACTACTTCTTTCATTTTTTTTCATAGTCGTTTAAGGTTTTGCACGGGACTTAAGGAAATCATTGATATTTTAGTTTTCAAAAATATTTATTATTTACTTTCCTATTTTACCCTCTTTTTTTTTTTTGCATTTTTGAGACTGTTGAACTACAATCTATTCCATTAATTATTATGAGCATATTTATGATTTAGTGAATTGAAATCTACTCCGTTAATTATTAATCTGCAAAAAAAAATAAAGGGCAAAATAGTCTCAAAGTCTGATGCACATGTTTATGATTTTTATGTGAATTGAAATCTTTGACACTCGCTCATTATTTATGCTCATTTTAAGATAAATTCAATGCTATGGTATAAATAATATCAATGTTACTTTATTTTAGACTAAAATATAGTTCATTATTCATTGATCTTATGTGCATATAATTTGGACTAAAATACAAAATATTAATAACTTATTTATGATTTTAAGGTGAATTGATTTTTGTAACGCATGTTCATTATTCACACTTATTTTAAATTTGAATTTTTTTGAAACAAGTAACGTCAATGTTACTCTAATTTAAACAATAATAAGTTCCATTATTCACGGATCTCGTATGCATATAATTTGGACTAAAATACAAAACATTGGTAATGTATATATGATTTTAAGGCGAATTGAATTCTTTAACGCTTATTCATTATTCACACTCGTTTTAAGATTGAATCAATTGACACAATGCATTAATGTTACTCTACTTTATAATAAAATACAATGTTATTTATTATCTAACTAATTAGAATGTGTGTCTTTTAAAGAGTTTATAATTGATGTATTTTATAAAATTAAGATAACATATTTTTATTATGAGTATTTTAGTTTAAAAATAATTAATACATCAAATATTGTTTTTATACTACGGTGGTGCGTATAGGAGAATAAGTTGAATTCAACTTAATCTAGATTAAATAAATGATATTTACAAGCTTTTATTTTATTTTTTATATTGAAATATTTGTTTTTTCTGTTGAACATAAAACTAATATATAAACACATATAAAACTAATTCAAAAAATTATAGACATATAAGATTACTAAGTTATTAGTATTTACTAGGAGTATCTGAGAATTAAAATAATTGAATGGTCCATCGTTTTTAATGAAAATGAAGTAAGAAAGGAAGAAAGGAGGGAAAGGAAATATTGAAATTTTTAGTTCACCAAAAACCAAAAATAAAATTTGAAAAATGTGAATGGCGAAAGTTGTCCCGCCATTTTGAAAAAGTAGCGTTGGAATGATTCGAAGGGTTTGTTTGTTGTGAATGACTGCTCTTCTGTTACTTCCAATGATTCCGCCACACATTTCCCTTTCCCACCAAACTACCTTCATTTATGAATGATAATTAATTATTTGTCGGATTGGATCATCTTAATTCTTATCACAACAACAACATTATTAATTATTTAATAAATTGCTAGATAGTTGACTAACAACTTTTTTTGAGAACTAATATATGAGAGACATAACTTCTAAGAAAGAAAAGAAAAAACACTATAAACAACATTGTTGAGTTGTGATTTTTGTGGTGTGTTTACATTGAGAAATAAATGTGCTTGTTGAATTGTTAACAAGAGTGCAAAATCATTTAAAATAAAGAGAATGTAATTTTGTATAAATTTATGTATAATTTTTTCCATAAAATATGATTTATAATTTAGGCGTAATGTCTCTTATTTAAAATAACATTTAATTCTATTTTTGATACTTATTATAAGACTTAAATAACTAATTTACTTAAGATTAAAAAAATTATTTTTTCTTGATTAAGATTGATAAATATATCTTGAGATTTTTTTTCCTCAAAACTAATTAATGAGAAACTTAATATTTTTTTTTAAAAGAATACACGAAACTGTCATGGTTTTTATTTGCAGATTCACAATTTATGCAACATCTCCAAAAAAATTCAAAGTAAGATATTTTGTTTAAATTTAACTTAAAGTACATGTTTGCCTTCTTATGAGTGGCTTACAAGTTTAGAATGTCTCATGTTTGTGTGTGTTGTTTTTTTCTTTAAATGTTTTGTTAATTTGTTTTCGTGATCCTTTCAAGGATGATATAATGACATTGGCCAGAAAAAAGGCCATTATATTACAGTAACTTTGAATTCAGTATTAATTGTAGCATTATAACATTCTGTGTTAAAATATTGCAAGGTATTAATTATGAAGATTTTGCGGTAAAGTCCGGTAATTAATTAAACCCAAGTTTGTTGAAGTAAGTTAAAGTGTGTCTAAATTTTTTATCCATAAGTTAATTTTTTTTAGTTTTTAATTTTTATAATTTAAAATATATTTTTTATAATTTAAAACGTAATTTAAATAAGCATGCAGGGAAAAAAAGTGTTTTTTATCTATTAAAATTACAATAACAACACTAAAATTTAAATTTATAACTCTGTACATATTATTTAAATTAAGTTTTTTGACACTATATATCTTTTTTTACTCTTATATATAACATCCATTATTGAAATATATTTTTTACCCTCACAAAATTAGGTATCTACCATGTTTACAGAAAACGAATTACAAAAAAATATTATCTTAAATTATAAGAATTAAAAATGATTGAAAATAAATAAATATAAAGCCTAAAGATATATATTTTAAATTATAAAAATCAAGAGGTAAAGAAAATGAAATTATAACGACTAAAAAAATATTTTTACCATTCATATATCAAGCCACTAATATTTTAATGGAATTGTTAAGAGCGAACCTAAAAAAATACCCTACATATGATAAAATATAACTTAACAAGTAAATTCTATGTTTGTTGCAAATTAGAACCATGCAAAAAGAACAAACTAACTTGAATCTCCTATCTTTTCAATTAACCAAAGTTGGGTAGTATACCAGTATGTTTACATTTACCACATTTATGTTATTTAAGTATTTGAAATTTGGTGGAACTGCATTATACACTTATTTATGTGTAACATGAGTTTTCCCTCTTACCTTTATGTTTGTTTCCCCACAAGCAATCACACCAAATGGAGATGACGAGTTAGGTCTTGCTAAGGCAACATGCAAATCAATCTTTATTATGTAGAATAGATAAAGCTTTCACAATTAATGAAATACTGC